TACTAGATTATACTTGTAGTTGTATATAATTCTACACTGTACAATTTGGTGGATAACTACTAGTTTATACTTGTAGTTGTATATAATTCTAAACTGTACAATTTGATGGATAACTACTAGTTTATACTTGTAGTGGTACAACATTCTAAACTGTACAATTTGATGGATAACTACTAGTTTATACTTGTAGTGGTACAACATTCTAAACTGTACAATTTGGTGGATAACTACTAGATTATACTTGTAGTGGTACAACATTCTAAACTGTACACTTTGGTGGGCACTGATTAGACAGAACATTTCTTGTATTACAAAGTGATTAGGATGTATCTTCCCTGAATATCTGTTGCATTACAGGGTAATCAGGATGTATCTTCCCTGAACACTCCTAATATTAAAAGGTGATCAGAATGTGTCTTCCCCAACAGTCCATCTATTAAGAATGAACAAAGATGAAAACATGTGGGAACGTATATTTCGGTACTGAAGATTACTGTAAATAATCTTATGGTTATTGGTTTTACGTTTCCTTGATACAACAATTTACTTACGAATACACGGGGGTAATACGGAATTCCAGTGTTCACCGTCAATACACGATAATACTTTCACGTTTTCCATTGTGTCATTGAACACGTGACCTTTGCAACACATATACAAAGCCGAACTATCATTGCGATGTACAAGATATCCAAGTTTTGGAGCAGAAAGAGTTGGGCAGTTTTTCACTGTAATACAAAGAACTTCAAATTACATCCGTTCTTAACTGTCAGAATGATAGAAATGTTAATGAACTTCCAGAAAATTATATTTAATTTATTTAAGAGAAGCTATTGTTATTTGAAATACATGTTTTGTTGAAAGAAATAATAATTACATTAACAACTGATAACTGGAGACAACTTGCACACTGTTTCTGATATTACAATGTCTAACATGTAGCTTACGTACACTGATATCTGAGGAGAAACCCTCGAAGTGGGTTAAACTGAGTGGACTGAAAGTTGACCTTTAACCTGTTGCCCAGACTTTCCACTTGCTTCAGAGAATCCACTGTATCACCACAAGTTGTCATGAGGTTTCTGTTGTCTCCTTCTGTCACGGTAAGACTATCGTCACAAACTGGCCGACCATAATAACGACGAGGTAATGTAGTGGAAATATCTAGAACCTGTACCAGCACTTTCTGGCCTTCCTCACCCTCTATGTTCCACGTGCAACTGTCCAGCTTTGGGTAGAACAGTGGATATCTGGGAGAGGAGATGTATCCTTTTGGTCTTCTAACATTAACATTACAGAACCTCTGTACCTGGGATTCTGTAAAGGCAAGATTTTCATTGTACTGACAGCATAATGGAACTATTTGTTCAATGTTGAAGTTTTATCTTTGTGATTCGGGTTGAATAAATGTGTTATAAAATACACATACTTCTACAGACAGGACATGCTACATTTTAATAAATGTACTCTACAAACAGGACATGCTACATTGTAATAAATATACTCTACAGACAGGACATGCTACATTGTAATAAATATACTCTACAGACAGGACATGCTACATTGAAATAAATATACTCTACAGACAGGACATGCTACATTGTAATAAATATACTACACAGACAGGACAGGCTACATTGTAATAAATGTACTCTACAGACAGGACATGCTACATTGTAATAAATGTACTCTACAGACAGGACATGCTACATTGTAATAAATGTACTCTACAGACAGGACATGCTACATTGTAATAAATGTACTCTACAGACAGGACATGCTACATTGTAATAAATGTACTACACAGACAGGACATGCTACATTGTAATAAATGTATTCTACAGACAGAACATATTACAATTTAATAAATATACTCTACGGACAGGACATGCTACATTGTAATAAATGTATTCTACAGACAGAACATATTACAATTTAATAAATATACTCTACGGACAGGACATGCTACATAGTAATAAATGTACTCTACAGACAGGACATGCTACATTGTAATAAATATACTCTACAGATAGGACATGCTACATTGTAATAAATATACTACACAGACAGGACATATTACATTGTAATAAATATACTCTACAGACAGGACATGTTACATTGTAATAAATATACTACACAGGCAGAACATGTTACATTTTAATGAATGTTCCATTTATTAATTAATCAGTTCCACGCTGATTTTTCCAAGCCCGTTCCTTTGGCTGTGGTTTCGCTAGATAGTAGATAGGTACAGTGGGAATCTCGTTAATCCATTCATGCGCGTCACTAATTAGATGACGAGGCATTTGGCTACATTAAGAGAGTCATAGTTACTGTGCTCTGCCCACCACGGATATCGAAACCCGGATTCTAGCGTTGTAAGTCAGCAGACATACCGCTGTGCCACTGGGGGGCTATTACAATTTAATAAATATACTGCATAGAGAGTACATATTACATTTTGATAAATATACTCCACGGACAGGACATGTTACTGTACAGACAATACATGTTACATTTAAATAAATATATTGCACAGACAGGACATGTTACTGTACAGACAGTACATGTTACATTTAAATAAATATATTGCACAGACAGGACATGTTACTGTACAGACAGTACATGTTACATTTAAATAAATATATTGCACAGACAGGACATGTTACTGTACAGACAGTACATGTTACATTTAAATAAATAAACTGCACAGACAGGACATATTGCAATTTAATAAACATACTATACAGACAGGACATATTAAATTTTAAGCTGTTACTTGACCTTATTTGCACTGAAATTTCTATGGTCAAATCTCGAGGTACTATTGGATTTACGGTCGAATGTATCGTAAACAGTGAGGTAATCGGCTGATGAAACAGTTCATTCTAATCATTATAACAAAGAAAGAAAATGTATACGTAATTAGCTATGCTCAGTTCGAGTTCAAGAATGGTTCTGTGTATGTATATTGCTCTACTGATCATCAGGCGTTCGTAACAAGAGTCACATGAAGTTCTGATATGCAATATATAATGATACATGCAAAACACCTGGTAGCTTTCAACACAAACTTCTTTATGTGAGAAGCGGATAAGTGAAAAAAAACGACAGTGACTTGAACCCTGGACTTTTCGCTTATAGGGCCAGTACTCTAACCCTGAGCTATCCAAAATGTTAGCCAGAGGTCCTGGGTTCAAGTCCCTGACCCAGATACTCTTTTCACTTATACGATTGTCCACATAAAAAGTTCATGTTGAAATTGTCCTTCCATTGGTTTCTAAAGAACTTGTAAAACCTTGTAGATGTAGATAACACTCGACCAATAAGAAAAGGCAGATTACCAAAATCTAATAAATGCATGCAGAACTAGTATGTGTAGCACCCGTCAAGCTGTCGACGATACTCAACCAATAACGCAAGCTATTAGAACCAGAAAAAAGGATTTAAGCTCCCTTTGAAACTAATTCTTACACCCCCTTCCATTAAAGAGGGTTGAACTAAAAACATACACCATTGTATCATAAAGAATACGTCCCTTCCTTTTGTCGCAATGATGACGCTAAAAACCCAAAGTGTTTGTTATTCATTGAATTTTCATGCGAAGCTACACGAGGGCTATTTATCCTATCCGTCCCTAATTTATAAGTGATATACTAGAGGGAAGAAAGCTAGTCAGCAACACCATCCGCCAACTATTGGAATACTCTTTATCAAAAAATAGTGGAATAATCACATTATAACGCCCTCACGGCTGAAAAGGTGAGCATGTTTGGTGATGTGTTTCTATCCAACGCCCTAACCAACGAGCCAACCAAAAGTGTTAAATATTAAATGTTACAAAATAATTAAACTCTCATAAATAACACCGCAAACCATTATACCCAGCAAACGATTTACCCCCCCCCCCCCTATTAAAGCCATTTTGCTGAGTAGATCACGATTTTAAATCACCATCGTAAACTGTGATACCTAATAAAGGGTTTAAACGCCCTCTAAATCAAGGTAAGGATTGTATAATTGACAAGATAAACTGATAACTATCCAATAAATACTTAACTTCTACTATTAATTATAAAATACAAAAATCTTTAATTGTTATTACTCTCATTGTTTAAGTAATCAAAACAATACTTCACAACCTAAAACACAAACTCGCGTCTACTTTCCAGCCTCGTAATTCGAATATGATAATACATTAACTAAGACCTTCTTTGTCCAACCATGACAAAGACTGGTCGTCATATTGAATCGTTTATATGACTTTTAAGTGAGGAAGATGGTTTGGTGTTCTTGTCTTTTTAATACATGCATTTCTTTATATTATCTTATAGTTTAAGGCAATTCGAGCCAAATTTCTTACTGAGGTTTGTTGAAGAAACTTGTGTTATAAAAACAAAACCTGCGAAATGAGTTTTCATCACATAAGCTAGGTTGATCATAGAGATTAACCTACCAGAGGGAGCTAGTGTTACTCAGAACAGTTTTCAGTTGGTCAAACCTTCCAGAAGAAGCTGGTATTACTCAGAACAGTTTTCAGTTGGTTAAACATTCCAGAAGGAGCTGGTGTTACTCAGAACTGTTCCCAGTTAGTAAAACCTTTCAGAGAGAGCTAGTGTTACTCAGAACAGTTTTCAGTTGGTCAAACCTTCCAGAGAGAGCTGATGTTACTCAGAACAGTTTTCAGTTAGTAAAACCTTCCAGGGAGAGCTAGTGTTACTCAGAACAGTTTTCAGTTGGTCAAACCTTCCAGAGAGAAATGATGTTACTCAGAACAGTTTTCAGTTGGTCAGACCTTCCAGAGAGAGCTGGTGTTACTCAGAACAGTTTTCAGTTGGTCAAACCTTCCAGAGAGAGCTGGTGTTACTCAGAACAGTTTTCAGTTGGTCAAACCTTCCAGAGAGAGCTGATGTTACTCAGAACAGTTTTCAGTTGGTCATGGAATTTCTAAAGCCAATCATGAAGACGTGTCTGTTTTTTGATGTGTGGTATATTATAACTGATCATGGAATTTCTAAAGCCAATCATGAAGACGTGTCTGTTCTTTGATGTGTGGTACATTACATTGTTGAACCTCTAACACAGAACATGGGTTGTGCATATTATTTTAAATTTAGTAATATATATATTTCTTATTTCATAACGGACTATAACCATGATTGACCCAATACTGTCAGTGTCGACACTATACAATCTTTTCAGTGATTTACCTCCTAATAAACAAACTTGTTGTCAGTGTAAATTGATTTTCTGATCAAAAGTGAGCAACTTATATGAACATAATTATAAAGTAACTTAAAATTAATGAAGCCAATTATCCACATCAAAAGGAAAAGAATGGCGTAATTATCTATATAACAAACTTGGATAATATTATCCAACTATATGATTTTATCGTTCTGTTTGTGCAAGAAGAAAGACTGTTGCTCAAATATCTTTAACACCAGGATTTTACCTCTTTAACTGATTTAAATGTCTTTCCTTAATGAGATTAAAGTACGTCCCTTGAGACCCCCCCCCAGTGGCTCAGCCGTAAGTCTGAAAGTTTATAACATGAGCTGACAGCACAGATGACCTATGACACGGTGAGAGAAGATCTTTAGTCAATTTCTCTGTCGATGTTTTGTCCACTTGAAAATTGTCTGTGAGTGTTTTGTTGTTTACCTTAACATATAAATATTGAACACAGCTTCAAGCTCATCATATAAAACAAAGTGGTGCCTCCAAAACAAACAAGAATCAATCCTTTCGTTGAGGAGAAGCATTGCTGTTTGTAAGATCCCCCTTGCCTAACAAGACACAAAGGGAATACTCAGTTTTTGGCTGAGGAGAAGCATTGTTATTTCTAAGATCTCCCTTGCCTAACAAGACATAGAGAGAAGACTCCATCCTTTGGCTGAGGAGAAGCATTGTTATTTCTAAGATCTCCCTTGCCTAACAAGACATAGAGGGAAGACTCCATCCTTTGGCTGAGGAAAAGCATTGCTGTTTCTAAAATCTTCCTTGCCCAACAAGACACAGAGGGAAGACTCCATCCTTTGGCTGAGGAAAAGCATTGCTGTTTCTAAGATCCCCCTTGCCCAACACGACGCAGAGGGAAGACTCAATCCTTTGATTGAGGAGACGCATTGCTGTTTCTAAGGTTCACCATCCCTTTCTCCAAAGAGAAACGAGTTACTCCACCTTTCTTCTTCATGAGAGACATGATTGGTGGTGCCCAAGGGCTTAACATTCCATCGCTACCATTTGTCTGACAGATCAAACTTATTGAAAACTTCTTATTTGGTAGTAAATAGACGTCTGTGGCGTTGAAGGATCACATTTCTTGCAGTAGACAAACAAGCTCATAGTAGGACATTCAGTGCCATCTCTGTGTTTATCTCGTACAATAATCACACTAGCTCATAATAGGGCATTAAACACCACGTGTGTTCGTATCGTACAATAATCACACTAGCTCATAATAGGGCATTAAACACCACATGTGTTCGTATCGTACAATTGTCACATAATAGGGCATTAAACATCACATGTGTTCGTATCGTACAATAATCACACTAGCTCATAATAGGGCATTAAACACCACATGTGTTCGTATCGTACAATTGTCACACTGGCTCATAATAGGGCATTAAACACCACATGTGTTCGTATCGTACAATAGTCACACTAGCTCATAATAGGGCATTAAACACCACATGTGTTCGTATCGTACAATAGTCACACTACCTCATAATAGGGCATTAAACACCACATGTGTTCGTATCGTACAATAGTCACACTGGCTCAAAGTAGGGTATTAAGTGTCATCTGTGCGTTCATATCGTACAATTGTCACACTGGCTCGTGGTAGGGCATTAAACACCACATGTGTTCATATCGTACAATCGTCACACTGGCTCGTGGTAGGGTGACATATATCCAGTTAGTCTACTCGTAATATAACTTTCATTGTCATTTTGATGTTTGTCTTTTTTACGTGAGAACTAAATGTCCTGGAAATATAATTTGTTTGGGCTCAAAAAAGTCATGATACTTGGGATAATAAATAAGAACTTTGGTAAAAGTTCATGAAATTCAGGTTCGGAGGAAATATTTAAACACATTCGTTACTGGGCAACATCTATCAAAGAAACCAACAACCTACCTTGGACGCACACGAACTTAACCATGACAACTCCGATGCCGGTACACTCAGTTTCATAATTATCTACGTACTTGTAGGTACAATTGTTTTTTCCTGAGCATCTGGAAATAGAAGGATGGTCTGTTGATAAATAATATGGAGAAAATAGTATCTTTTTTAACATTGTAGTAAACTTACTTACACCTATAAACATACAGGATAAACCATGTTCACAACAAGACGCCAGTATCTTTTTTAACATTGTAGTAAACTTACTTACACCTATAAACATTCACGATAAACCATGTTCACAACAAGACGCCAGTATATTTTTTAACATTCTGTCTTTTGTAGTAAACTTACTTACACCTATAAACATTCAGGGATACTGGCGTCTTGTTGTGAACATGGTTTATTTTTTTTTTAGTTGTAGTAAACTTACTTACACCTATAAACATTCAGGATAAACCATGTTCACAACAAGACACCAGTATCTTTTTTAACATTCTGTCTTTTGTAGTAAACTTACTTACACCTATAAACATTCAGGATAAACCATGTTCACAACAAGACGCCAGTATCTTTTTTAACATTGTAGTAAACTAACTTACACCTATAAACATTCAGGATAAACCATGTTCACAACATTACGCCAGTATCTTTTTTAACATTGTAGTAAACTAACTTACACCTATAAACATTCAGGATAAACCATGTTCACAACATTACGCCAGTATCTTTTTTAACATTGTAGTAAACTAACTTA